CAGTGGACTCAATCATGAAAGGAATCATCAAGAACTCGCCGCGGAACGATTCATACTTGGCCCCTTTGTCCTGCTCTCCTCTGGACGCCACCGCTCGCACGTTGCGAGCGACCCCGTGGTAGCTTGGCGCAAACGAGTCTTTCACAGTAACATCCCAGATCACGCGTTTGCCGCGGGTCCAAGGCTCCAGGGTCATGCCATCTGGGCGTAGGGCGTCGTTCGGAGAGAGATGCTGAGGTTCTTTAGAACAGGGAACTCCTGCCTGTCGCAAGGCCCGCGCAAGTAGATCGTTGATGGCCGCGTGCCGCGCCAGGCGACCGGACGCGAGTTTGTAACAGCTTAGCCTGTGGAGAGCCAGGCGATCGATCTGAGAGCCGCATACGCAGGCGCATTCTTCGACGATCGGCAATCCCAGTCTGAGGCTCACAGCACGAACGAAGTCAACGTCTGATAGGAGCGTGCCGAGATTCTGACTCGGTATGGCTTGAAGCCACCAGCCGGATTCCGGAAGTGCAGCGTTGCCCAGTCGAATGGAGTCAAGCTCAGAGGCCGCCAGTCTAAGGCGGAATTCCGTCATGATCGACTCGCTGGCCACTCGCGTCCACACACCCTGTCGGCATCGGTCATCGTCTTCGGGCGCGGACCCATAGGTAGTCATAAACTCAGCCGTCGCCTCCTCCCGCAGGTGGACCCGAGCCGATTGCCGTCCCAGAATGTCGAGTACCTCCGGCTCCGCAGCATGACAAGACGCTGCGAAAGCTGGCAGAGCGATCCTCGAAGGCGTTGGTATGCCAATCCCCCCCAAAGAAGTTGGCAGGGATAGCTGAGTGAGAGCATCACCAGTCAAGGAGATTTTCAAGATGCTCTCGAACGCCGACACGAATTGGTCATCCAAGCGGTCCAGAAGTGAATTCATTTTGTAGCGGGACTTGCACGTAGGAGATGAGTGAGCTTCGGCGCCCCCATTGCTCTTTGCATGATATACGTGGCTACGTGACTGCCCATATGCTGCAACCTCCGGAAGATGGTCTCGTAGACCGAGCTCTTCGTCTCAAGGGCCCGAGGAATGCCGGTTTCGAAGACCGGAGCACCCAGCAGCTCGACGGCAGACTCGTCGGCGAGGAGCCGGCATCCCGCCAGGGCCTGACTGATCTGCCGGTGGATGTCGGCTGATTCCGACTGAGAGAAGCCACGAACGAAGACTTCACATTTTGCTGGATTAACATCGAGACCATGGACCGGGTGGTACGCTCTGATGCGCTTGATGTCGTCGACGATGTCTCGAGGGTTTTGGCTGCAGATGGTGAAGTCATCGAGGTAAGCCACGGCAAGCTCACTCTGGAGTGATTCCAGGGTGCTCTGAACCACCAGACACAACAGCGCCGGAGAGAACACATCCCCCTGTTGACAGCCAGTTGTAGACTCGATCCTTGCGTCTCCGAAGAATATGGGAGTCGGCGAGGTGTAGGTCTGAGCTACCATTCGATAAATCTCCGGTGCGAGCTCATGAGTCCGTCTCAGCATGGTATCGCGTCGATGGCTGTTGAAAGCGTTTTTGAAGTCCACCTTGAGAAGGACGCTCTTCTCAGTGGAATGTGAGAAAGAGCGTACGCTGTGAATTGCGATTTCGGTCCCACCACGGGTTGCGAACCCCAGCTGACGCGAGCGCAGGACTGCCGAAATGAATGAATGAATGAATAGCGCCCTTTATTGACTAGAAGGGGGGAGTGAAGACAATAATTGTAAATACAGGGGGAAACCCTCGGCGCGTAGCTTATCGGCCATTCTCCATGGGAACAGATTTTGGATACGTTTACTTCGAGCAACAGTTTTGGGTCTAATCGAGAACTTACTACGGAGTCTGTTTCCAGAAATGGTTAACATATCATCTGAAAGGGAGGCACGGAGGAGTGTCCTGAGCATGCTATCATCGTTCTTATCGAGAAGGGTCTTGAGATCGGGAAGAGTGACATCATTCCGCTGTAAATTGCATCGATACCGTAGTCTGCGCAGGAAACGATTCTGCACCCGACCCAAAAGATCAATGTGCTGTCGTTGAGACGGGTTCCAAAGAGGCGAGCAGTATTTGAGGGCGACATAGTTAACCTAAAGTTGACAATGGACGTGACTTCTCTACCGGATGTTTGCTTTGCCTTCGATGACGAAAGTGCTCGTTGGCGAGGCACAGACATTGTACGAATGTTCCGCACAAATCTCTTTTGGGTTTTCGGGAATGAGTACCTCGAAGCGGATACTACATTCTTTGGAAACTCGTATTCCGCACTGTAACTTGTATCCGTCTACTACAACGGTGAACATTAGGATCCACCATAAATCTCAGAATCAGAATACTCGTCGAGGGAGCTTAGCGGAGGCCTTGAATAGCCTTAATCGATGCTACATGAAAAGATGGACTGTTGAGGGAAATAGGAATGAGGGAAATCTCGGGAAAAAACGGGTATCCTCTTCCTCGAAACGGTCCCGCAGAAACATCGCCATACTAGGATTCACTGCTTTAAGATCGCGGAAAAACCAGAGGCGATCACAGACGTCGCGTTTATGCCCGAACTCGTAGTCCAGGAATATATTTTTGAATCGCTACGTCGCTCTCCTCCACTTCTATTCGTAAGCCGCATCCCTCATACATTCGGTACCTCCATCGCAACTCGCAGCATTTTTTCTGAGGACTATTCTCCCCTTATACTAGAAAAAACAATCATTCATAGTGCCTAACAGAGGGTTTCGAGGGCCGACAGAAATCGTCCAATGGAACCTCCTTCTCAGTTCAGTTCCGGACGAAAATCGATGGGGACAATGTCCCGTAAAGCAATCTTTCGACCCGATCCTCGTGATAATCCGATGCCTACCAGCGGAGATTCAGCCCCGCAAGAGTGGGGTAGATTTCGCTGCATGGAGGATGAAATTTCTCTGACCGGCTACTAGAGACATTTTAAGGACGTTTTCACGTCAATAATCGATTTTGTGGGGACATTGGGATGAGACCACATTCAAAAGCCATGCCGGATCTCAATCCCCCGCCCTAAATTTCGAGTAGACAAGGAACTTCAAGTAATGTTTGACTGCTTGACACAGTTTCCCTGCCAGTTTCGTAAATGTAAAAGCGTAGGTCGGAGCCAATCTCTCGTCCATCCATTGACACCGAAGAATAACGTGTCTATGAAATGAAAACGCTCGGAGAATAGGACGCTCGAGATGCGTGGTTCAAATCTTTCTGAAGGATCCCGAACATCACGGAGAAATATCCCTCACCGATCCTGAAGGGTCGAGGTCGGAGGGGAGGGATTACTGCACGAAGCATCCTTCGGGGAGACTTCATCGGAACTGACGAAGGGACTTGGGCTCCAAGTATCGTCGAAACACGTAAGGAGGTCGCTGTCGGATTCGAAGTTCAAAGCGCATCTTGACGACCTGGACGGTTCCCAGTAGACGAGGGAGCCGCCTCAGATTTGGGGCCTTAAGTCCGGCTCAGGTCGCCGCTCCCCGTGTCCGCACGCACTCCTGAGTCATCAGAGACTCCATACGAGAGATGTCGGCGTATAAGAGAATCATCGCGGATCCCGTCTCCATGAGATTCCGTGTCGTAGGTCTCGCTCCCAAGAAACTGAATGCAGCTTTTCCACTTCGGATTAATGGTCCGTGATTTGGCCTGTAAGAGGCGTCTTGGGAGAACCGCTGAATCCGGTTGAGTACTTCGAGACCGCGTTACTCAAGTAGGGTCCACGCGGTCACGCTTTTTGTGATGTGTGCATGGGATCAGTGCAGCAGTGTCAAATTGGTGCAACTAACAAAATATTTTAGGCATCTTTGCCGCGTTTTGAAGATTGAGGGAATTGTCGCGTTTTATAGAGTGGGAGATGCTGTAACACAAGACAGTTCCCGGATAATGAATTGTGTTGACATGAAGGAAATCCGGGTCCTTCCACATTGATACACTGTTTCTTCTCGCGAATTTCGCGGGTAGCCTTATCCCAATTTCCAGCCCCAAAATCGATACTTGTTCAAAATTTTACTTCATTCCATGTCCTCTAATTTTCGACTCACAGAACATGAGAATCAGTCAGAGACAGGGACTTATGACATGGCAAGCTGTCGCTCCTCCGGCGGGAAATTTCGGAAAGATTCGGTGGCCCAATCACATTGTTCACCAGTGTACTTAGTCTACATGTAATTGTCTACTCATATCTGATTCCAACGTGACATCAAATAAGTCCGTTCTTCATGTAGGTCATGGCCTGGTACTGCACCGTCCCCCCAGTCGTGTGAAGTGAACTGTTGGAATCCTCGATGCGACTGTGACACATGCCATTGGTTTAATGCGGGCATCATCCTGAGTTTTTTCTCCAGCATAATAAACGCTCTTCAGCTTAAAAAAAATACAATGAAGGCCGCCGCTCTCCTCCGTGTGCGGCGACACGAAATCACCCAAGAAACAGCAGTCAAGGGGACAATTTCGAACAATGCATAGCACGGGAATTCACCCGGAAGAGCATTTTGAGAGAGTATTCACCCGTAAGAGTGCGCTCACGCTTGCCTCATGGCCAGCGGTCTCCCCCTCAATGCTTGCTATTCCTCGGCATGATGCGGTACATCTCCTCGCAGCAGACTCCATGCCGGTGTTCGGAGAAACTCGTGTATGTATCTTTCGAGCGTGAATCATTAGCCTTTGAGTGTATCACATTCTAGATGTGAGTCGGTCGACGCATAGATCGTTCGGGGCTTCTCCGTACGGCATTAGGGGACGCTTCGCGTTATCGGCACACGCGTCGAATATTTGACTTCGCCCATGCAAACTTCTCTCGCTAGTCTCCCAACTCGATGTCATTCCGAGGCGCGTATCCGCTGTCCAGGCTGGACTCATCGCATCATACATCTGACGACTGCGGATACAGAGGATGCGCACCTGTGGGAAACATCCCACGGCTCCCTTCTGCTCGATACAAGCACGACACGCTGGACTCGGCCAGAACACGATCGAATAAATGAATTTGATCCATCAAAAACTGCAGGAGATCTCGACGCTCGTGAGTCTGACGACCGCTGAGGTCGGGTACACGACCGTGTTCCCGGTAATGCCAGGCACCTCGTAATGCCTTAGACTTATTCCCTCATTGTACTTCCACGCTCATTTTCAGAGGCTCCCCATCGACTCGTTGAGGCCGTAAGCTTTGTTGTCAGCTCTCCTCGATCTCAAAGCCCTCCCGGTACCGATGAGGAAGCTGGTCGCTCGCTCATCGCCATCAGACGAGAGAATCTCCGCGGCGACGAGTCTCCGCGACTTCGCTGCGCTCGAGAAGCGGAACGAAAAAGTGTGAAGTGTCTTCCGGAGAGATCGTCAGTTTGTGAACCAATCCAGCGTCGCGAACGCACTGTAAGAGTCAATTCATATCTACAATTCAAAGCCAACATGCGTCTATGTTCGCTTTGTGGAGTACTCAGGAGCAGCTGTTTGGGAGAGAAAGCTGCGAGCAGCTCCTTCATCCGTCACAGACTTCTGCTCAGACAGAATAATTCTCTCTGTCAGTGAGGAACCTTCGCCGAGTGCGCCCATCATGTCCCTGCTCTAAGTATCCAGTGGAGAGCTAGGCGTGGGTCCCTCCCCGAGCGAATTTCCCGGCATCGTGAATTATGATTCCCTTTCAAACACATTCTCATCACGCAGCGCCTCCTTCCAGCAATTACGGGCGGTATTCGCTCGACCGTTTCGTCTTCAGTGGCCTCATCAAACCCATCTTCCAATTAGTTTTCGTCTTCGACACACAAAGATTGCCGACAGACTTGATCAGAATCGTGGCGGCCGTCACTGGAATAATCGGACTATCTTGGGGAAGGATTCACTCGAGTATTTCCGTCCTGATGTTCCTCTCAAGTCCCCGGCGGATTTGAAGTCGGCCTATGATTTCATTATTGTGGGAGGAGTAATAACCGGCTGTTTGATCGCAAAACGGCTATCCGATGCCGGCCACTCGACTTTACTGATTCATGGACCAGGATCGCTCCCAAATGAGCTGACCAGGGTACCCCTCCTAAATCTCGGTCTGCACGGAAACCCTGATCACGACCATCTCTACAAAAGCCCCAGACTGAATTCGCGCTGGCTCAATCAAACACTCACCTACAACTCGGGGAAAGATCTCGGTGGGTCTCAAGTCCTCAGCGCTCAGATGTGGTCTTACGGAAAATCGGGTGATTTCACGTGCTGGAAAGAGGAATTTGGCATCAGTGAAAAGTTCAGCAATGAAAACATTCGTGCGGCAGGTAAAATCCACGAGAAGGCGAGCGCGGGAGTTGAAGGTGTAGATTCCCCCTACGGAGAATCCGGAGAAATCGATTTGAGTCTCTCTCCGACCTGGGCTCCGTATCAACAAACTTTCGCGGATAGGTTCGAAGCGGCCGCAGCCAGTCTGACGCAAACGCGGGTGAATAAGGACCAGAACAGCGATGCTCTCGGTTTCGGGAGAATTATTCATGCGGTGGAAGCAGACACGGGTTATATCAGTACTCCGGTGAGAGCATTCTTCGAAAATCGACCTCTCTCGGATAATTTACACATCGTTACAAGACACATGGTGCGGAAGATACTCTTCGACATGTCCACGTCACCTCCGCGGGCCACCGGCGTTGAATTCGTCCAGGCAGAAGATAGGGAAGGGAGCGTAGTATTCTTCAAAAAAGCCACCAAGCGGATAATCCTCACGGCCGGTGCCATTCGAACTCCTCAACTTCTGGCGCTTTCCGGGGTGGGATCCGAATCCGACCTTAAGCAGTGGAACATCGAGCCTGTGGTGACGAGGAACGGCGTGGGACAGAATCTCCACGATCATTACGACATCGGTAATGCTGGCGTATGTTTCCCGAAAGGCACCAAGAAGTACGTCGACTTCGGACTAACTCAATACTTCAATTTCGGATTGCATAGAAGAGGCCAGCTCAGAGCACCCCTGGGAACCCAGTCCTACGGCTTCTTCAAATCCGACCAGAGCAATCTTACCACCTGTCCCGATCCTGAAGATGCTTCAACTTACCGCCCGGATTTCTAATTGATCCTACAGAACCTCGGTCAAAATACTCAACTCGCAGCGAAACATTACTTTTCGATCGGAATTTCGAAGAATAATCTCTACCAAGACTTCTATCTGCAAGGCAAATCTTCGGAGGGAGACAACTTCTTCGGCACTCTCTTCAAGCAGAGGGAGTGCTTGCTCTTCACTCCGACTTTGCTGCACCCGGAGTACCGGGGCCAAATCACTCTGACATCGGGCGATCCCCTCGATGACCCGATCGTGGATCTGAAAACGACTTCAAATGCTAGAGACATGAAACTTATCGGCGAACTGTGGCAGAAGGTCAAACGCATCGCGGAGGAATCATTCGGGGATATAGGCGGTGAATTCGACGGAACACCTTTTCCCGCATGTGAGAGCATACAAAATAGACTATCCCACGAGTTTGGCTCATGTCAAGCGCTGCAGTAAATGAAAAGCGCTTGGCACATGGGAGGATCTTGTCGACTTGGGCGGGATGACGATCCCATGGCCTGCGTGAATGAGAAATTTTTCGTCATAGGCGTCCAGGACCTCATGATCGCTGATGCGTCGATTCTACCTTGTCCGACGAGTGGGCACATGCTGCCCACTATATCCGCCATGGCTGAAATGGCTGCTCGAGAAGTCATACGGGACTTTGAAGTACAACGCTCTCGCTCCCGATCATGAGCCCCGATAAACTCCATACAGAAATAAACAGTTCTCGGCGGGAATCTTTGTAAGTGGAGTTCCCCCATAGGTGCGGACTCGATTCAGTATCGCTCTTGTTTCTTTTCAATCTACTACCGTTCCCAGTTTGATTCAGAGTTTATGGCCGCAGACCATTGATTGTTTCCCGAGATGCTGCATCGGGCCGGGAGACTTCACACTGTGAGTCCGAGGAGAGACATACCGGCTCTGTCGCCAACGCTATTACACCTTCAGAGTACAGCCGTCTGAACGAGACCCTTCATTTGAAGTCGCGGAGGCATGGGAAAAATGCCAGCTTCCTTTTCTCGAACCTTTATGGCGGGGCCAGAAGTCCACGGGCGTCAATAAGGTGGAGGCTTTGCGTCGTCGAATGCATCCAACGATTGACATGCTCGTCGACAGAAACTGTTTCAAATCAGGATTCTCCGCTCACAAGTTTCCGTGGTCCCGAGCGCGATCCTGGGGGGTTTCTGGACTTGTAAGTACGAAGAATGTTTAACCCCGATTTTTCCGATAATAAAATCGTTTCAAGCGTTCGGGAGCAGGATCGGTATAATGCTTCTCCTGCACTCTGAAGATTCGAGTCCGGTATCTCACCGCTCCATTTATCAGCGCTCGGCTCCGAGCTCCGCTTCCAGGACATAATTATTGGTCTGTGTACATACGGAGTCAAGCTAAAACTAGAGCGTGTGGTGTCCCGGACAATTCCAGTCCGCGATGCACTTCTCCGGAGAATTGCGAATTGCATGTGCTCGAGGTCAAAGAGTAGAAGGAACTTCAAATGTCGGCGTCGGACAGTGACTTAGGATCGTCCAGAGCGCGTCTCTCAGTCTCTCTACTGTTGTCAGAAAAAACGGACGTCAAGGTTCCTGGGGGCGAGGCTAAGAATACGCTCGATGAGACGCTTGCCCGCTCGTCTCACCACGGACGGTAGGTGAGCAGATATCTCGCGGTCGATATCTACACAGAAGCTCAGAAAAAGATCCTCACCCATGTTGTGTTCCTGGTGCTTGATTTTGTTCGAGACCTCTTAGTAGGCGTCTGGAGAGGGCAGAATGAGTACGAGAGAGCGCACCTGAATGAGCTCAGCGATCGCACACGAAGCCTTGAATATTCGAAAAGTTTCGTTCTGGGGGAGCTTCCGGGATTTCTCCATGTTACGGCGAGCTCAACGCCCAGGGAGGAAGTGGACGGAGTCCTCATTCCCTCGTGAACACCCGAGGAGAGCCCTAAAGGAAAGAATCCGTTCGAGGGAGGCTTGCCCGAAGGACTGGAATGCGATATCGTGAGCAGTCCTCGCGAGGGTTTGTCTATCCAACAGTACCACGAAATGTTCGATTGTGTGGAGCTCACCATCCACAAGCTGACTCCGACCGATTCTCGCTCCCGGACCACAGCTCGCCGGTAAACGTTGTGACTCTCTTAGACCTCACAGCGATTAGAGAACCTGCTGACATCATAAGAAACTGACTTGAGAAGTCGTACAATAATAAATATAGAGGGCCCTCCCTGTGTTTCCCCAGCTCGGTATACCAAGGAAAAAGTTCCCTCCGACGCCTCTGTCATTATCTGGTGCCGACTCGGGATAAAGGCTCGAAGAGTCCCTCCCGCGAAATCGTCTGAATCCAATAATAGGCGCCCCTGGAGATTCATTTCGAAGAATTCACTGTCTTCGAAGCTCAGATCAGCGTATTCCGAATCGACTTGTTCCGGATCCAAGATCGACGCTTCATAGCCGAGCATGAATCTTCATTGCCAAGCTTTTGGTGTATCCGACTTGGGGCGGGGACAAGCTGGGGCGGGATGGCTGCATAAGTAAACAGTAAAAACAGCAGTCACTCCACGATTTCTATCCAGTTGAAAAGGTCGGCGGGGGGACAACAGTAGAGGTGATACTGAGAACAAACTTGCCCGCAGAGAGAGCACAGGTACTCCTCGCCGGTGTCGTGGTTCCCCCTCGAAGTACAAATCAGATGGTGAAGACCTTGCACCGCGCCTCGGGTCAGTCGCTGCCTCGAGGTGCAATGCGGCCCCTTCCACCAGCCACATTTCAGCGTTAGGGTGTCAAAGAAGTCTTAGTCCACTCTGGTCATTTTGTTCAGCCACGGATCACAGACATCGTCGAAGGCCTCGGTGTGCGTATCCCTGAGTTAGAACTTCAGAGTCTCGTTTCTCCGCAGCGGTCCGCAGCTCTGACCTACCAAAGGCCCTTCGAGCTCCATCATTGAATCCTTGATCAGGAATTCCCAGGCTCGGCCACATTCCGTCTGAGCTAGAAGATCCCTACCCGAAGAACTTCCGAGGTAGGGAGTTCTGACTGTATTACATTACAGATATAGGAACCTCCCTTGGAAGCCCTCTCTCCCGATCCGCTAGATGCTGGGTCTTCTCAGCGGGTTCCTGCATCGGATCCGGATCTCAATAGGTCGACTCCGCCTCTGCGGCACAGCTTTCCCAGCTCGTCCGTAGCCGTTTCCCGCTGCCTAAATAGATATCCCCCTAAAGAGTAAAATTACAATGTCTGATTGTCCGTCTGTCACCGGAACAATATTTCGTGCTTCTCTTGTCCGAACAGACTTCGAACTTTTTCAATCGATGCCCAATGACTGGAGTGAGGTCAAGATACACGTTTTGAGCGGCTTCCCGCAATATTTGCGTGTTCCTCCTCTTATCGTCACTTTTCAGCGAATGTCAAGCCTTTCCGTTATGGCGGCATCAAAGCTCTACTGAGCGCGAAGCGCACTTGCGGTGAAAGATTGTGTAAGCCGCCACGGAGACGATTTCTCGGTTCTGTCGGTCGAAACCAATCCTGGCGAAGCTTCTGGGAGCACGAACGACGCTCTTCCGGGTACGCAGTGGGACACGCATCCAGTGGCGTACGCAGGATTTTTTTCGGGGGGGGGG